TTTTTTCATAGATAGAATCATGGGTGCTTCCAAAGTTGTTTCATAGGGGTGGCCATAGCGAGGCCACTAAAAATATTGGGGTGGCGCACCATAAACAGAATTTCAGTTTTATTATGCTCTTGTCAAATATAGGTCACTTAAAATATGTCGAGAAAGAAAAGAATTATAAGTTTATAAGTTGATTTCACTAAAAATAGATACATATAAAAACAAAATAAAAATTCCTTTACAATAATTTGTTTAAAGGAGGAATAAATATCAAGTTAATGTTTCGATGAACTGTAGGGTGTCTTCCTCTCTCGTGCTCACATATGGGGCGACCAGCGATTTATTTATTTTTTATTTATTTTTTATTTTTATTTTTTCAGGGGCGGGGGTCAGTGTAAGAAATGCATAGGCTAAAATGCATATCTACAATAACTCATACTCTTAAACATGTAGAGCCATCAAAATGGACTTTCTGCTGTGCGTGTGTGTGTGCGCACGTGAGAGGGTAACCACATTTCACTCTGAACATGTGTAAATAAGGAGGCAAAACCAGCAGGAAACCACACGCTGTGATCAAGCACAAACCATTTACAAAACCTAACAAAGAAAAAAATAGATATGATGATGAAGTTAATTTTCTTCTCTATTTTGCAGAACATGCAGAAAAAAGTAAGATGAGTGTGGTTGCAAAATGTGTGAAAAGTAAAGAGGCAACTTCATGTCACATGTTTCTGAAGGAAATTTAAAAAAAAACACAGACATCCTTGTCACCGTATTTGTTGGCGTGACAGTGAGAAGAAAAGATGGTCTTACAATGGTCTTTGTTCTTCATGTACATTTGCATTAAAGGTATGGATAGTATAGACCTTTAAAGTACAACTGAAAAATTTAATTCTCACATTTTCATACATCTTTGTGTAACACATAATGTCGGTATTACATGATCTTTTCTTTATTTTCACACACATTTATGTTGTCCTTCTTATGTTGGTAGTCTTTATTTATTTGTTTTGTTTCATCATAATTTACTTTCAAATTTATTACAGTTACTCCAACAAAAGCTTCATCTTGGACCGCTGCTGTGCCATCCTCAGTGAAAGGTCTCCTTGGCTCATGTGTGGTGATCCCCTGCTCTTATAACTACCCAGAACCACAAAAAAGACCCCAGACCTTCAAGGGGATTTGGTATAATAATGATAATCAAGTCATCTGTCATTCTGATGCATCTCAAACTCCAGATCAGTTTCGGAGTCGGACAAAGCTGCTGGGAGACCTCAACAAGAAGAATTGTTCTCTGATGATTGATAAACTTACAAGAAGAGATGAAGGGACATTTCATTTCAGGATTATAATGGAAGCTTATACCGTATTTTCCTACTCAAAGAACAAAATCTCTGTTTCAGTGATCGGTAAGTTAACTGAATGAATGCTATACAGTTACACTCAAATTATCCACTCATGTGGAAAGTGTTATGGTACTTGATAGGTTTGTAGCTTGAACCTATTCGCTGGAACGTTGAAGGCAATATAATTACACAGCAAGCAAGACCCAAAGTAGGCAAAGTTCTTCATGTTACTCATGCATGAGGGAGACCTGCCTGGAGCCAAGTGTCGTTCCACCACTTGACCTCCGTCAGACTCTCAGCCAGGTCCCCCATAGCACTCCTTTTATTGTGGTTACATGAATATGCATAGGGTCATTAACATATAACATCTTACATAGGTATACATGTGAACAAAGAATACTGTGTGTGTGTGTGTGTGTGTGTATGTGTGTGTATGTGTGTGTGTGTGATTTGTGTGAGGTCAAGATGTGACCCTGTGAAGAGTCTAGCGGGTCCATCTGAACAAAAGGCTCTTATACTTAAACAGATATACGTGTGTTTGCTATGCCATATATCAGCAAGAGAAGATATGGATCTATGCCAGAACACTCTGTAGAGGAGTGAACGCACTCCCCTCTTCCATGCTACACAGAGTTGTTACAGACCTCCTAGGATGAGACATTCTTTCAATCTACAAATGATTATACACTTCTAAGCATATATGAGTAAATATTTCTAAGCATAAATGACAATGAACAATACAAAACCTAACAGTACTGGTTCGTTATTTCTATGTTTCCGGACTAAATAGTGTTATTTGAATATTCCTCGTTGATTCCTAATTAGTGTCAGCTGTATTTCCACTTGCTACCCATCCTCTCGTTACCCTGTTGTGTATATTTATGTCCTCAGTTCTACGCATTATGGTATTTGGAAATTCAACAATTGGATTAGTCTTTGGATTTGCAAAAAAAAATCACAGTTAGTTTGGGTCTTAAAATCATCTTGATCTTTCTTGTTAACACAGGTGAACCAAATCCCACTGATTTATCTGTGCAAGAAGAGGTAAAGGAGGGTCAAACTGTGTCTGCATCCTGCTCTGTGTTTCACTCCTGCCCCACATATCCACCTTCTTTCCACTGGAGTCACTCTGGAGAGCAGCATGATCAAACACAGAAGCTTCAAAATGGCCAGTGGAATGCAACATCTACTTTGACCTTTCGCTCAAACCACTCTGATCACAACAAACCTTTACGATGCAGTGTTACATACCACGGTGGAAAGCAGCGGGAAACATCCAAGACCCTTAAAGTAAAATGTAAGTGTGCACTGACAAATACATGTAGATGAAAGAAAATCTTATAAATATTGTAAAAATGATCGCTTTTAAAAAATCTAGAATACAATGGTCTTTATAGTTATAAAGAGAAAACTATAGAAATCGTAAAAGCCACGAGTGAAATTGCAACAAACCAGGCTAAGAAAGCACAAACCAACATAATGAAAATTAAGGGTGTTCCGACACTAGTCATGGTTGCTTTGTTACATTGTGTTTGCAGTTGTTAGAATTAGAAAGAAATTAGGGAAAAGAAACAAATATTGAGAATTACATTCAAAACAAAAACTAAGCAGAAGTTAAAACTTTTACAGTTTAATTTGTTACTCATATTTTCTTTTTTTATTTATTTTTTTTACACAGAATGTGAAACTGTTTATCTTTAAATATATATTTATTACAAGCTGGCATAGAACAAAGTGCCAATTGATTTGTGTATGTCAATTACTTCATATGACTAACAGTAAAAAAAGCACAGAGTGCTCATTTTTAGAAGAAAAATGTTGTACAGTGGGATGCAAAAGTTTGGGCAACCTTGTTAGTAGTCATTTTCCTGTATAAATCGTTGGTTGTTACAATAAAAAAAAATGTCAGTTAAATATATCATATAGGAGACACACAGTTGTACTTGAGAAGTGAAATGAAGTTTATCGGATTTACAGAAAGTGTGCAGTAATTGTTTAAACAAAATCAGGAAGGTGCATAAATTTGGGCACCACAAAAAAAAGAAATGAAATCAATATTTAGTAGATCCGCCTTTTGCAGAAATTACAGCCTCTAAACGCTTCCTGTAGGATCCAACGAGAGTCTGGATTGTGGTTGAAGGTATTTTGGACCACTCCTCTTTACAAAACGTCTCTAGTTCATTCGGGTTTGATGGCTTCCGAGCATGGACAGATCTCTCTAACTCACACCACAGATTTGCAATAATATACAGGTCTGGGGACTGAGATGGCCATTCCAGACTTGTTCCTCTGCATGAATGCCTTAGTGGATTTTGAGCAGTGTTTCGGGTTGTTGTTTTGTTGAAAGATCCAGCCCCGGCGCAGCTTCAGCTTTGTCACTGATTCCTGGACATTGGTCTCCAGAATCTGCTGATACTGAGTGGAATCCATGTGTCCCTCAACTTTGACAAGATTCCCAGTCTCTGCACTGGCCACACAGCCCCACAGCATGATGGAACCACCACCATATTTTACTGTAGGTAGCAGGTGTTGTTCTTGGAATGCTGTGTTCTTTTTCCTCCATGCATAACACCCCTTGGTATGCCCAAATAACTACATTTTAGTTTCTTCAGTCCACAGCACCTTATTCCAGAATGAATAATGAAGTCCGAATGTGCTTTAGCATACCTCAAGCGGCTCTGTTTGTGCTGTGGGTGGAGAAAAGGCTTCCTCTGCATCACTCTCGCATACAGCATCTTCTTGTGTAAAGTGTGGCAAATGGTTGAACGATGCACAGTGACTCCATCTGCTGCAAGATGATGTTGTAGGTCTTTGGTGCTGGTCTTTGGGTTGACTCTGACTGTTCTCACCATTCGTCGTTTCTGTCTTTCTGAGATTTGTCTTGGTCTGCCACTTCGAGCATTAACTTGAACTGAGCCTGTGGTCTTCCATTTTCTCAATATGTTCCTAACTGTGGAAACAGACAGCTTAAATCTCTGAGACAGCTTTTTGTATCCTTCCCCTAAACCATGATGGTGAACAATCTTTGTCTTCAGATCATTTGAGAGTTGTTTTGAGACCCCATGTTGCTACTCTTCAATGAAAATGGAAAGAGGAGGGAAGCTTACAATTGACCCCCTTAAATACTCTTTCTCATTAATGGTTTCGCCTGTGTATGTAGGGTCGGGGGTCGCTGAGATTACCAAGCCAATTTGAGTTCCAATAATTAGTTCTAAAGGTTTTGGAATCAATAACATGACAATAGTGCCCACATTTATGCAACTGCCTGATTTTGTTTAAACAATTATTGCACAATTTCTGTAAATCCAATAAACTTCATTTCACTTCTGAAATATCACTGTGTGTGTCTCCTATATGATATATTTAACTGACATTTTTTTTATTGTAACAACCAACGATTAATACAGGGAAATATTGACTATTAACAAGGTTGCACAAACTTTTGCATACCACTGTATGTGCAATCATGTTAAAGAACACTTACACAAAACTCCAAAGTAATTTGAAAACTAAGCAAAACCCAGTAGCATGTACAACCACCTTTGGCTACAATGACTTGTAAAGTAAGTAGCCGTTTCTCACATCATTTTGAAATCTTTCACATCTTTAGAAGGTTGCTTCATTTCATTGAGGTTTGTGGACACTTGTTTATGCACAGCTCTCTTTTAAATTGTCACCACACAATTTAAATCTGAGATCTAAATTTTGACGAGGCAACTGCAAAACCTTGATTCTTTTCTTTGTCAGTCATTCTTTGGTAGGTAATGTCCTTGGGATTATTAACCAGTTAAGACCAAGCTGCAAACAAGCTGTAGCCTCATGTTTGACTCTAGAATATTTTGATATACTGAGGAGTTCATGGTTGAGTGAATGACTGCAGTCATGCTGCCCAGATTTTTGGTGGGTTTTTTGATTTATTCATTTATTTTTTTTAACACTGCATTTTTATTACTAGTTTGTTTTTTTTAGCATTGTAGTTTGACTTTGGGGTGAATTTGTTGGGACATCAACTCCTGGAAAGACTGCAAACTTTCTTGAATGTTTCCTACAGTGAGAATAAGCTTTCACACTGCAGAATGAGAAACTTATTTGGAAATGGCCTTATGATCCATTTCAGAATGATGGGCAAAAACAACCACTTATCTAATTTAGCTGCTACTGTATTTCTTCCTTTGTGTTGTGGTTAACAGCGGTCCCCAACCTTTTTTGCGCCACGGACCGGTTTATGCCCGACAATATTTTCATGGACCGGCCTTTAAGGTGTCGCGGATAAATACAACAAAATAAAACTAGTACCGGTACCGAAAAAAAGAAAATTTATTCATAACACACGTGAAAAGACCAAGAAAAACCGAGTAAACGATAACAAACGATAACATAACCTGAAAACCGATAAAAACCCTGAAAACTATACATTTCACACCTGAGCCTCAACTCTCGCGGCCCGGTACCAAACGACTCACGACCGGTACCGGTCCGAGGCCCGGGGGTCGGGGACCGCTGGGTTAACACACACCCAAAATGCTACAGACCTGCAAACTGCCAAAACCTCTGCTTGCTGACACGATAAGTCATCTTTCAGTTGCCTGATAATTGCACTGAATGAGCTTGTGCCAAAAAGAACTGTAAATTCTATCCCTTTCTATATGCATCCTTTTTAAAATGTTTTTATGAATTATTTATAAATTCGTTTTTCTCTCTTATTTATTTATTTTTTGTTTTGTTTGTTTGTTTAATGAACAGCAACGTCAGTCTAGTGGTATGACAATGACTCACTGACTGAAAGTCGATTTAGTCTTAACAACTACTGGATTGACTGCTTTGATATTTTGTCAGTATATTCATCATCTCCAAAATATTGGTGCTTTCATGCTTTGAAATTTATTAGCTACTACCTAGTCAAAATGCATTAATAAAGCTCAGCTTTGACCTCGATGTATAAAATAAACTAAAATGCTGCACAGTAACATTAAGGGTTAAATGTTTCTGTGCAGATGCTCCAGTGAATGTGAAGGTCGAGTACCAGTCAGATGTGAATGAGGGAGAGACTGCACACCTGAAGTGCTCCAGTGATGCAAACCCTGTCAGCAGCTAGAGTGGCACAGTGAAACTGGTGCTCTGCTGAATAAGGGGCAAACCTACACAATGTCAAATGTCTCCAGACACTCAGAGGCCGTGTACTGCACTGCTGTCAATGAGGAAGGACGAGTCAAATCAAGCACCCTGAAGCTCAATGTGTTATGTAGTACAACAATGAAGAAATATAACAACAAAAGATTTTCATGTGAGTCAAAGATAAACTTTATTGACACCTATTAATCCTTAAATTCAGGTGTTTTCAGTCCCGTTGCCACTGGTGTATAAAATCAGTCACCCAGCCGTACAGTCTGCCTTTACAAGCATTTGTGAAAGAATGGGTCGTTCTCGAGAGATCGTTTAACTTAAGTGTGGTACTGTAATAGGATGTTACTGTTTTGAGAAGCCAGTTTTTGGAATATCTAGGAGGAAGAAATTTCAAAATTAACATAAAGTTACAAAGCAGTGTCACCAAGTACTGAGGCGCATAGTGTTATTGAGTCATCTGACTCAATAACTCCAAAGTTCAAAACTTCTGCTTACATCATGGCAACATGGCATAAATTTAGATTGCTGAGCAGCTACTTTTATCCATATAATGTATATAATAAATGCACAGCTATCTTTTATCTCCTAATTATAGCTTTCTATTGTCCTTACAGATCCCCCTGATATTAGGACTTCCTCTAAGTGTTTCTCAGAGGATGATGTGGTAAAGTGTGAGTGCATCGTGGAGTCCAGGCCTCCCAGCATGGTCCATTTTGTTCTTGGTGACAGAGTCCTGCAAAGCACCAGCATAGAGACAGTTGGCTCTGTTACTACTGGAACTCTGCAGACATACTTTGGGTCCTTTAAGTTTGTTCACTGCCTGGCAAACAGCACACTGGGAAATGCTAACCTCTCACTCTTGTTACCTGCTAATGGTAAGAAAAAAAATTTCAATCTCAAGAATCTCAAGCATTAATTATTATCACTTTATATTTACATGGCAAAACAAAAAATATTCAATATGCCTTCTTTTTGAACAGACAACATGCAGAATATTTTCATAGCCTCTGGAGCAGGTGTGATTTTTCTGATTATTCTGATAGCCACTGGAGTGGGAGTTGTTAGAAAATGGTGAGCTTTAGAAAATATTTGTATTTCTGAAATGGTGGTTGGAAGAAAAATCTACACAATAACAGACATTTTTTTGAGGTTTTGACAGCCAGACCACCTAAACAAGGTATATTGCCTATGTCCTTTGTTATTCAGTTAATAGAAAAAGCAGCACATAACACAGGAGTTAAAAAAGTATTCAGAGTAAGAAGCAGAGCACCATGTCTCTTGGAAAGTACAGAGCTGATTAACTATGAAGTCAGAGCTACAAATAAAACACAGACACAATCCTGTAGCTTGAAAGAAGAAGTCACACACATTCATTTCTTACTTCTGCTTTGGTGAGTTATAACAGTCAATGCTTTAGTGAAATCTATCTCAGATCTTATTTGCATCTTTTCTGAGTATCAGCACAGAGAGAAGCTGCTGCTGTGAGGATCAACTTTTCCTTTAGATGTGTGTTATGGTGTTGAATTCTTTGTTATTTTCATTTATAGAAAGACTGTTAAATGAGCAGCATAGCAACATTAACAACTAGTATCAAAGACAACTGTGGTATTTAAAAATGGTCCTTTAAAAACAGATTATCCTAAATCACAAACACACACTCTTCCTCTCTCTTCGTGTTTAGTTGGGGAAAAGAGAAAAAAAACAGGCTAATTGTGTTCTTCTTTTTAATAAAAACAAAATCCACTGATTCTATTCATTGTGCTTTTACTTCAGTAGCATTACTCATGAGAAGTATGTTGACAAAAATAAAAAATAAAAATGTTCAAAATATAATCTCTCTCTATAAATGAAACATGCACACATTGACTCCTGAAACTGCTGCTGCTGCTCTTTCAGTTCAGACCATCATAGGCTGCTATGTTCCATGAGATCATTGTAATGATGCTTATTTTTGTCACCCAACATGTACAAAAAAACTTGTCTCAGAGCTTGCATCTGAAATTCATTTCTTTTTGTTTGCCCATCCAAATATAGCAGCCAAATGTGGCTCTACTTAAGAGGTTACCAAAACTGACAGCTGTCTTTCTCATGTTCTTATTTATTTTATTGTTTTCTGCCAGCAGGGGGCGCTCAGGGGAGACGCCAACATCAGACTTGGGCACCATGAAAGCAGAGAGACCTGTGGAGCTCCCTCGTTATGCCCCAACAAAAAGGTTTTGATTCTTCATCTTAAGTTTAAACAAACAATCTCACTTGTAATTAAATATGATTTAAGAACGATGTGTAACTTGATTTAATGTTTTTGCATTCTTTCTGCAGGAAAGAGGACAGGAAGGATATGTCTTGTTCTGACATTTATGCCAATGATCATCTCTATGGCATTGTAGGGACAAGTAATGATTTTTTTTTCAATAATTCATTCATAATGTGCATGCATAAACAAAGTGAGTGAATTAATCTTGTTTTCTGTCTAGACTGACTGCGATGAGTCAATATACAACAATGTGTAGCTGTGGAAGATCAGCTTCAGTCCATGTTGTTATATGAGTCAAGAAAAAAGAAAAACCTTAAACAATTTGAAATATTAATTGTTTATTTCTCTCT